TACCCAATCAATCGTCTAAATACTAGTATGAGCCTGCAGACTTCTGCTCTCTGTCCTTGGTGGACTCCAATTTGTTGATCCTTGGCCTGAAGTTAGTCGGGTCGCGTCTAAATGTTATGTTCAAATGCTGCAAACGAAAGGGCAATAAGTTACTTCGAGTTCTATATAAAAGACAGATTCATATTCAAATAAGAAGTCTCTAAAAAGTAATAAGAATTAGTTTGCGTTACAGAGGATTGAGTCATTCAAAAGTGTAAGATTAGAAGACTTACCGATAAGAAGAGGTTCATTCCGCTGAGAAGTGACTGTGGAGAATGAGCCATACACTTGATGGATGGTTGTCCTTCATAAACTATGACTCGGTCCGCAAGATAGGTCGCCATTATGAAGTCATGCTCCACAATAAACGCAGTTTTCTTTGTGCGCAAGATGAACCGCTTAATTGCCTTTGAAGCTTCGATTCTCTGCTCTGCGTCGAGATACGCACTTGGCTCATCTATCAGATAGATATCAGCAGGCTTCCCAAGGCATAAAGTTATGCCAACCCTCTGCGACTCTCCACCCGAGAGTGTGTCTATTGCTTGATCCATCAACGGCTCACTCAGAAGCGAGTCCATTACATCCGATTTAAACTGAGGATTCATATACGCATCACGGATCTTCTCATGAAGCAACTGCCTCACTGTACACTTTCGCTTCACGTTATACGTTTGCGGTTTGTATGACACGTTAAACACTGGCATATCCACTTCTACACCATCATCAGGTGGCAAAGCACCTGCCTGGATCAAGATTACAAGTTACATTCATTCAAAGTCTAACCACACTGAGGGGAGAAACAGAATAAAAAAAACAGAGGAACTGTACCAGCATCCTGATGAAAGTTGTTTTCCCGGTACCGTTCTCTCCAAGCATTACAACAATCTGAGAATCGGTGAATTCACCTTCCATCACTTCTAGCTTGAAACCTCCAAGAGTCTTACTCATGTTTGGGTATTTGTATCTTGCATAAGACTTCACTTCTCCATCACTCTCTTGCGGAGTCTCGGAAACCTTGAGGAAGAAACAACAAAACACCAACCATATCAGTCACAACACAAAGAATGTCTATTGCTTCTCAAGAAAGAGGCCATTGGAAAAGCTTGATTTACCTTGAAGGTCAGAGATTCTTTTCTAAAACGTAAATTTTCAGTAGGAATAAACCCGGCCAAGAAGACGTTGATGCCTTCTCTAACAGAAAAGGGAAGAGTCACAACACCATATGCTCCTGGTTTCCCATACAAACAGCAAACGAAATCCGACAAGTAGTCAAGGACGCTAAGGTCGTGCTCCACAACAATCACATAGCTGCAACAGAAAGTCAAAGCCATGTGTAAGAAGCAGCAAAAACATTTTGTTCAGAAACAAAACAGAGAGATGATAATCAAACCAAACCAAACCAAACCTGTTAGGTCTGAGGAGAGAGCGAATAACTTGAGCAGCTTTGAGTCTTTGCCTCACATCGAGGAAACTAGATGGTTCATCAAACATGTATATATCAGCCTTCGTTAAGAATACTGCAGCAATCGCAAACCTCTGTAGCTCGACGGTCCAGGATATTGTTCAACTCAAGATCAGCACAAATCTGCGACATTATTCCTTTCTCGTCCTTCTTCTCAAGCGTCTTCCCAATATCAACGTGAACATATTTTTTAATTTCGTCGACATGTTGGGGCTTTAAAGCGGTCTGTTATGCATACAAGGTGAGGCATCAGACTCATTTAATGAGCTGATTCTTTAGGTACAAATATCAAGATCGAGTTCCACACTACCTTAAGATTTTCTTCGACGACTCTAGTGAAATAGCTTTGGAGTTCTGACCCGCGGAAGTGAGCCACAATTTCTTGCCAGTCCGGAGGATTCTGTCCAAGAGGTAGTAGAAACGTCATACATAAGTTACAGAAGAGACGCTTTCTAAGCACAAGGAGTATATAATAAACATTTACATTGAATCTGCCAAGATTTGGTTTGTGATCCTTGTTTCCAGACAAGATTTTGAGAGCCGTTGATTTTCCAATACCGTTTGTTCCGACCAAACCTAGGACTTGCCCTGGTCTTGGAACTGGAAGCCTGCAAGTCAAGCTATATTTCAGACAGAGCCCTAAAGACAACTACTAAAAAGAAATGATTAGCTAACCTGTGTAATTTAAAACCATTGGCCCCATGTCTGTGGGTTGTATCTTTCTCAAGCCCCTTTGGAAGATTGATAATCTGAATGGCTTCAAACGGGCATTTCTGCGATTATGCACCAACAAATGTCAC